TTTTTAAATTTATATTATTTTATTTATACTTAAGTTGTAGCGGTACATGTGCTATAACGTGCACGGTTTGTTAATTATGTCTACTTGTGCATGTTGCTGTGTGCTGCACCCATCAACTACGTCATTTGCATCAGGGATAACTCCCAAGTGCATGTTCCCTCCCCCCTCCCCCCTCCCCATGATAGGCCCCGGTGTGTGATGTTCCCTTCTGAGTCCAAGTGATCTCTTGTTCAGTTCCCACCTATGAGGTGGAACATGCGGTGTTTGGTTTTCTGTTCTTGTGATAGTTTTGCTAGAATGATGGTCTTCCAGCTGCAATCCCATGTTCCCTACAAAGGACACAAAAAGGTCATCCTGTTTTTATGGCTGCATCGATGAACCCAGTACCTCAGTTGAAAATGCAGAAATCACTGGTCTTTTGTGTCGCTCGCGCTGGGAGTTGGAGACTGGAGCTGTTCCTATTCGGCCATCTTGCTCCGCCCCCTAAAATGCTATTTATGTGGCAGACTTCAGATGTCTTAGATAGTTGATACTTGCTATTCATAATACACAATGGTAACATATGGAAAATGTAGGTGTATTGTGGTTTATCCTTAGATTGTCATTTAAAATAAGATTTCAGGCCAGGACCAGTGCCTCATGTATATAATCCCAAAACATTGGGAGGACAAGGCCAGCAGATCCTTGAGCCCAGGAGTTTGAGGCCAGCTGGGCAACACGGGGAAATCCCATCTCTACCAAAAAATACAAAAATTATACTTGGTGGTGGCATTCACCTGTAGGCTCAGCTACTCGTGAGGCTTAGACAAGAGGATCCGTTGAGCCCAGAAGGTTGGGCCTGCAGTGGGCCGAGGTGGTACCACTGCACTGCAGCCTGGACAGAGTGAGACCCTGCCTCAAAAAACAAATACATAAAATAAGACTTCATAATACGAAAAAACGAAATTGTAACATTTTTGCATCACATTTATTATGACACTAGCCTACAGGTTTTTATTTCATAATCCTGAGGAAAAGAATATTATCATTTCCTTATTTATATTTTATGTTTGTCTGCTTCAGTTGATAATTTTTGCATTTTTAAGTGTCTGACCTGGAAGCTGATCTCCAAGAGCTGTCTCAGTCAAAGACTGGGAATGAATGCAGAGATGATCCTGATGTCAAGGGGAAGATTCTGCCAAAACTAGAGCATTTTAAAATGCCAGAAGCAGGTACGTTATCCATTAAATGCAAAATTAGGTGCTTTCTGTTTTCTACAAAATTATACTTTTGATAATAAAAAGAGAGAATATTAGTGCCCCTTTAAAAACAGAACTCAAATGCAGACTTTCTTTGAAAGGTAGTTCAGACCCTGAATGCCTGACTGCAAGACTTAAACACTATCAGATACAGAAACAAATTGGGTCAAAGCCATATTGAATCGTCAAATGTGAAAGCATTTTCTTCTGAGTATAACCAATAGCTAACAATTTTCAGATTAGTTTTTAATTTCTACTTTTAAAAAATACATTGTAATACCATTTGTAATACAGTTTGTGTGAAACGTGCTGAGAACTGAAGAGGATTCTAGTACCAGCTCTACCATAATTTGTGAGATTCTTAATGAATCCCATAAATTCTACACCCACGTTTGCTCTTATTGAAAATAGTGAATGAACATCAGATTAAATTCCATTTCAGTGCTGATTTCTGCATGCTGTGGTTTTGTTGGATAGAATACACAGATACTCGACTTTCATGATTTGTTTATCATAATAATCAGCTTCAGTTCAATTATAATATCTGAATTGAGACTTCATTGCTCCGAAGAAAATAAACAACCACTCTGCTTGATATTTGTTTCTCTATATGGAGACCTTAATGACTGTTCTTGGATTTTGTCAACTTCTGAATTCTGTGGCTCTTAGTGAAGCCTTGAATATCTGAATAATAGAATGGCAGGAGACAGGTTTCTGTGGCGCATGAAGTAGGGAGAATGCATGTAGGTCAGTGAGCATGCTCCTTGCCCTACTGTTAGTCTTCATGAGCTATTGTGTGTAATTAGATTGAAGACACATATAATAGAATCACCTCTAACTATATCATAGATTACATATTACAAATTTCTATCTTGAGATGTCAGTTAATAGGATCTAAAGTTTAAAGTCCGAGGGCACGCCCAAGATGGCCGTATACGAGCAGCTCCAGCCTCCAGCTCCCAGCATGAGTGACACAGAAGACGGGTGATTTCTGCATTTTCAACTGAGGTACCGGGTTCATCTCATTGAGGCATGTCGGACAGTTGGTGCTGGTCCGTGGGTGCAGCCCGACCAGCAAGAGCTGAAGCAGGGCAAGGCATCACCTCACCTGGGAAGCACAAGGGGGAAGGGAATTCCTTTTCCTAGCCAAAGGAAATTGAGACACACAACACCTGGAAAATCAGGTAACTCCCACCCTAATACTGTGCTTTACCAATGGTCTTAGCAAACGGCACACCAGGAGGATATATCCCACACCTGGCCCAGAGGGTGCCATGCCCACGGAGCCTGCCTCATTGCTAGCACAGCAGTCTGAGATCTAACTGCAAGGCAGCAGCGAGGCTGAGGGAGGGGTACCTGGCATTGCTGAGGCTTAAGTAGGTAAACAAAGCCACTGGGAAGCTCGAATTGGGTGGAGCCCACCAAAGCTCAAGGATGCCTGCCTGCCTCTGTAGACTCCACCTCTGGGGACAGGGCATAGCTAAACAAAAAGCACCAGAAACCTCGGCAGAGGAAAATATCCCTGTCTGACAGCTTTGAAGAGAGCAATGGATCTCCCAGCATGGAGGTTGAGATCTGAGAACAGACAGACTGCCTGCTCAAGTGGGTCCCTGACCCCTGAGTAGCCTAACTGGGAGACATCCCCCACTAGGTGCAGACTGACACCTCACACCTCACAAGGCTGGGTACAACCCTGAGATGAAGCTTCCAGAGCAAGAATCAGACAGCAACACTCGCTGTTCAGCAACATTCTTATCTTCTGCAGCCTCCGCTGCTGATACCCAGGCAAACAAGGTCTGGAGTGGACCTCAAGCAAACTCCAACAGACCTACAGCTGATGGTCCTGACTGTTGGAAGAAAAACTAACAAACAGAAAGGACACCCACACCAAAACCCCACCAGTACGTCACCATCATCAAAGACCAAAGGCAGATAAAACCACAAAGATGGGGAAAAAGCAGGGCAGAAAAGCTGGAAATTCAAAAAATCAGAGCGCATCTCCCCCCCCAAAGGAACGCAGCTCATCGCCAGCAATGGAGCAAAACTAGACGGAGAATGACATTGATGAGTCAAGAGAAGAAGGCTTCAGTAAATCAAACTTATCAGCGCCAAAGGAGGAACTACATAAACAGTGCAAAGAAACTAGAAACCTTGAAAAAAGATTTGACGAATGGCTAACTAGAATAACCAATGTAGAGAAGTCCTTAAAAGAACTGATAGAGGTGAAAACCATAACACAAGAACTACGTGACAAATGCACAAGCTTCAGTAACCGAGTTGAACAATTGGAAGAAAGAGTATCAGCAATTGAAGATCAAATGAATGAAATGAAGCGAGAAGATAAGTGTAGAGAAAAAAGAGTAAAAAGAAATGAACAAAGCCTCCAAGAAATATGGGATTACATGAAAAGACCAAATCTACATCTGATTGGTGTGCCTGAAAGTGACGGGGAAAATGGAATCAAGCTGGAAAACACTCTGCAGGATATCATCCAGGAGGACTTCCCCAACCTAGTAAGGCAGGCCAACATTCAAATTCAGGAAATACAGAGAACACTACAAAGATACTCCTTGAGAAGAGCAACTCCAAAACACATAATTGTCAGATTCATCAAAGTTGAAATGAAGGAAAAAATGTTAAGGGCAGTCAGAGACAAAGGTCGGGTTACCCACAAAGGGACGACCATCAGACTAACCGCAGATCTCTCAGCAGAAACTCTACAAGCCAGAAGAGAGTGAGGGCCAATGTTCAACATTCTTAAAGAAAATAATTTTCAACCCAGAATTTCTTATCCAGCCAATCTAAGTTTCATAAGTGAAGGAGAAATAAAATCCTTTACAGACAAGCAAATGCTTAGAGATTTTGTCACCACCAGGCCTGCCTTACAAGAGATCCTGAAGGAAGCACTAAACATGGAAAGGAACAATAGGTACCAGCCATTGCAAAAACATGCCAAAATGTAAAGTCCATTGATGCAAGGAAGAAACTGCATCAACTAATGAGCAAAATAACCAGCTAATATCATACTGACAGGATCAAGTTCACACATAACAATATTAACCTTAAATGTAAATGGACTAAATGGTCCAATTAAAAGACACAGACTGGCAAATTGGATAAAGAGTCAAGGCCCATCAGTTTGCTGTATTCAGGAGACCCATCTCACATGCAGAGACACACATAGGCTCAAAATAAAGGGATGGAGGAAGATCTACCAAGCAAATGGAAAACCAAAAAAAAAAGCAGGGGTTGCAATCCTAGTCTCCGATAAAAGAGACTTTAAACCATCAAAGATCAAAAGAGACAAAGAAGGCTATTACACAATGGTAAAGGGATCAATTAATCAGGAAGAGCTAAATATCTTAAATATATATGCACCCAATACAGGAGAACCCAGATTCATAAAGCATGTCCTTAGAGACTTACAAAGAGACTTAGACTCCCATACAATAATAACGGGAGACTTTAACACCCCACTGTCAATATTAGACAGATCAATGAGACGGAAAGTCAACAAGGATATCCAGGAATTGAACTCAAGTCTGCAGCAAGCAGACCTAATAGACATCTACAGAACTCTCCACTCCGAATCAACAGAATATACATTCTTCTTAGCATCACAAAACACTTATTCCAAAATTGACCACATAATTGGAAGTAAAGCACTCCTCAGCAAATGTACAAGAACAGAAATTATAACAAACTGTCTCTCAGACCACCCAGCCCATCCCATTACTTGGGTATATATCCGAAAGGAATTATAAACATGGCTGCTATTCAAGACACATGCACACGTATGTTTATTGCAGCACTATTCGCGCACACACACCCCAACACCATACAGCCGTCGTGAAGACTGGATTAGAAAATAATGACATGACACCATGAAATACCTATGCAGCGCATAAAAAGGATCTGAGTTCTGTGTCTGCTTTTGTAGGATGTGGATCAGCCTGAAACCATTCGTTCTCAGCAAACCTGTCCAGGAAACTAGAAACCCAAATACA